TTGCGGTCAGTCCGGCGGCAGAGGAGGCCAGGTGTACAGGCAGCCGGTGACATTCTGCATTAGAGTGTAAGCTCCTCTGTACAGAGACTGATGTGACTGTCTCAGTGTTCTCTGTACAGCACTGCGGTATATATCAGAGCTATATATATGTATAATAATAACTAGGGATGCACCGATACCGAGTATTTGGGCGAGTACGCTACCAAATGCTCTGATGCCTAGCCCGATACTTTAGCTTCTGACATCAGGAAGGCGGGCACCGTGTCATTACACGGCGCTCGGTTTCCTGAGTGGCCAGAAAGCTGGCTGCATGCTTTCTCATCACCTAGTGACGAGAAGCATAGGGATCGGTATTGGTGCATCCCTAATAATAACAGGACATTCGAGTGTAAGCTCCTCTGTCAGAGACTGATGTGACTGGCTCAGTGTGGCGGCGGTGGGGGGCGGCAGGGAGGGGGGAGTGCCCGGCCTAAAGCAGTGTAAGGGCCCCCAAAATTTCTGATGGCTGCCCTGAGGCTGGGTTCACAGCAGCCATTTGTCAGTATGTGTTGAAGTAGATAGAGAGCACTGTCAGTCTGTGATTAGAGAGTTAATTGCTGCTGTACAGTTCTATATTGTGCTATATTACTGTGAATATATACATATACAGGGCTATTCTCAAAAAGATGATGAAGAGTTTGGAGAAGGCAAGATAAGTGAACAATCTAGGACAACATAGCTGAACAGAAAGTGAGCTGAATTGGAGAATGTTTCCAAATCAGCTATTTTGGCCTAGATTGTTCACTTCTCCTGCTTCTCCAAACTCTCCATCTTTTTGTGAATATCCCTGAAAGTATACTGTGTGTGTGTGTGTGTGTGTGTGTGTATTTTTTTTCTTAGGGCTTTTTTAATTTGGGATCCACACTGCACATTTGTTATTGACACAGACAAAGCTGCCCTTTGTTTGCAGCACATCAATGCATACATGTGCGATAAAGTATTGTGCACCAAAACACCACATCTTAATGCACCAAAGCACCACATCTTAATTCTCCCTATTGCCATAGCTGCCATTAAATGTAGGCAACACCTTTTATTCAAAATGTCAGGCAGGCCTAAAAGGATTGGCAGAGGCAGTAGGGGGCAAGCATGTTCTGTAGGACAATGTGGTGGTCAGGCCACACCATCTAGAAGCAGGGCATGTCTGCCTTGTCTTTCTGAGAGTGGCCATGCTTTACAGCCACAGCATGCAGAAGAGGTAATTGAGTGGCTGACAAAGCCTTCTCCTTTTTTCACCTCTCAGGCATAGAGCAGCCAATTGTCTACAACCACTTCTTAGGCACCTTCTTCTCTTACTCCTTTTTTTTTCTCTTCTTTCTCCTCTTCTTCTTCTGCTAATCCCACCTTAGCCCCACAATCTGGCATGCAGAAGTTGGTGGAATTATTTAATAATGTGATGAGTCACTTGCTGTAGTAGGAGAATGTTGGTCATGTGCAAGAATACCAGATGTTGAGAATGAGGAGGAGAGCACCGGGACCATAGAGGGAGGGGACATCATGCAGAGAGCAGCAAGAGGCAGTTAACTTCCTGCAGATGCAGCTTAATGCCAAATGGGCTCCAGAGATGAAGGGGGGAAACAAGGTGGCTGACCATATGTGGGTATCAGTGATTGGAGAGGAGGAAAATGAGGGAGAAGATGGACATGAGGAAGAAGTTGAACAGCAGCCAGGGAGGATTTTGCAGGGACAGCTTACAACGAAGTGGAGGAAGCACTGGAGGTGGTTGTGCTGCCTTGTGTCGTGTATCTTGTTGGTGGCAGTGCAGTTAGCTGTACCTCCTCCTCCTCAATGGCCTTGTACTCCTTAGAACCGTCAGTATACCCAGCCTTTCCAAAAGCCTATGCAATAGCCCAGGGAACACACGGTCATGCTGTTTTGGAGATGGTATGCCTGGGGAAAAGGAGTCACACTAGGTCAGAGAGTCTAACGGCTCTCCAGGGCCATGCCAAGAGGTGGCTGACCCCACATAATTTTCTTGCCAGGCATGGTCATGTGTAATAATGGCACTGACTTGATGTTCACCATTTGGCAGGGAAAGCTCACACATGTACCTTGCTGGCACATGTTCTCCACCTAGTGGTGCAGCAGTTCTTGGTTAGGTACCCTGGCTTCCAGGAGGTCCTGTATCATGCCAGAAGAGTGTGTGGCCACTTTGCCTTGCAAAATCTCAGCACCAAGAGGAGCTGCCTGCCAACAACGTGACACCCCCATGAGCTGGGACTCAGTGTTGGTCATTCTGCTGAGGCTGCATCAGCAGGCCATAAATGGGTATCTGTTAGAGTACAGTATGAGGATATTGCAATGATGATAAGCATTTTCACTTTGTGAATTATATGGGTGGGGTTATTGAGACAGTCATGTTTGTATCATGACACCATTATTTAAGTATTTTCCTGTGCTTTTTTATTAATGTTAACGTGGTCTATGTGTCGTTCACTCTTTGTACATGTTATTGAAAATGTTATTGCATGTTATTGAAAATAATACTGTGTCATTTGATTGAGAGGCTGTGTTAGGCCCTTGGGAAAATTGCAGTAAGAGGAAAGCCGCTAGAATGTGGCACATTTAAGATTCTCATTTAATAGAAATAATGTTTCTTCCAGAAAAAAAGGTATTGTTACATTGTATTCCTATTGCACATACAATTGTTTTAACAATGAAAAAGGACTGCACTCATCGCAATAAATATTTTTGAGTAAAACGTTAGCTGCACTGTTCCCTGAAAATAAAACAAACTGAAAAGAAAAGAGCCAAATGTTAATGTTATTTTAGGGCTACATACATTGGCATTGATATCAGCTTATTAACTCACTGTCAAAATAATACTGTATGTGTTTACTGACTGCAATCATAATGGATATATAAATTGTGAGCATAACATGAGTGCTTTCATTGTGGCAGAGTTAGGGATGGATTGCAATGATTCCACTGTGCATAGCAGAATACATTTTATTCTATTTTAAAAAGAAAGAACATTAATTTGATATGTTTTATAACAAAAAGGGAAACTTTTTTTCAAAATATTTGCATTTTTTTCCTTTAAATAATAAACAGTGGATTCATTGCAATCCATCCCTAACTCTGCCACAATGAAAGCACTCATGAAAAGCACTGTAGAAAATAGGAAAAGGTTAACAGTTATTATTACAATTTTAAAAAAGAAAACAGATTTTGTTGCCCAATCAATGCATGTTATTGAAAATAATACTGTGTCATTTGATTGAGAGGCTGTGTTAGGCCCTTGGGAAAATTGCAGTAAGAGGAAAGCCGCTAGAATGTGGCACATTTAAGATTCTCATTTAATAGAAATAATGTTTCTTCCAGAAAAAAAGGTATTGTTACATTGTATTCCTATTGCACATACAATTGTTTTAACAATGAAAAAGGACTGCACTCATCGCAATAAATATTTTTGAGTAAAACGTTAGCTGCACTGTTCCCTGAAAATAAAACAAACTGAAAAGAAAAGAGCCAAATGTTAATGTTATTTTAGGGCTAAAATAAAGACAAAAAAAATGTTGGTATGTAGATATAACACATTGGAATTATTTGTTCAATTGTTTCATGTATTTCTTTTGTCTGATAGTTTATTGTCTCCCAGATCACAATGCTAAATAAATACATTATTGCTCTTATTGAAACTAATGTCCACTTTGCTGAAATAGTCCCTCATAATTACCGCAACCTTGGCTAAGACTTCCAATATGTTCAGTTTTCCTTTCCTCCATTGTTATAAAAAAAAGTGGGCATTGAGTGCTTTCCTGATATAATGGGCAGTCTACAATAGGACATCCAAAGGATTATTATAATGGCCATTTATGCTGCTTTATGCCCAAATTTCAAAGCTGCCCAGAATATTAGACAAAATAACAATTATAAATTAAATTTATTTGATATTAGTGGTAGCTACCAGACAGCTGGGGTGTATGCTGCAGGTATATGATGACCACATATGCTCATATAGGAAGTCATTTTATAACTGAATCTGTAGCTGACTCCATGACCTGGAACTTTACCTTTGTCAATGAGTGACATCATATTTCACTTCACTGCATAAGATCCTATTTTGTCTTATAACACTTGAACAGTGAACAAAAGAACAATGAAGCCCTAACATTCTGAACCCTCCAGATCTTTTAACACAAAATTATGTGAAATGTATTATCTATCTTTAGCTTTTCTCTATTTACTTAAAAAATATAACTAAACACTTTTAATAAATCTGATATTGAAAGACAAAGCAATTAAATAACAAATGTAGATATTGGTGATTTTGATTGCTCACTCTGTTATTCTTATACAGGAGTTTGATGTACCAATAGTGTTTCATGGCAAACATTCATGTTTTTCTTACTGTCATGGGTTCTGTTTATGGGATGCTTACATGCACATTCTATTCCGGTGTGTTGCAGCTCCCATATGACAAGAAGCTGCTTTTGAGAATTTCCTATTTGACCCGCTGGGCACTTTGGAAGTATAAACAAATATAACTAAATAGCTTATGTATAGTAATTTTTTAAGTAAACTATTGTGCTTCTATATTTTATCAGATGTCATCCAAGCAGATATGTCTTGCAGTTTACTGCATTTTGCATAAGAATGTACTATGGCTATAGTGGTTATGGTAACTAAGAATTAAATCATGCAGGCAAACAGCATTTACTTAATACAAATGATAAATGCAGGTTAATTTGTTCACAATTAAGTTTAGTGTAGGAATGGAGGAACAGTACATGATATATGTAGTTATACAGATGCCTGCAGCTTTTAGAATTTATATTGGAGACACTCGTGTGGTAGTTTACTCATCATAAGCTTATTGTGTTTGTGGATCAGTGGGTTCCTTGACACAAGTAAGCAACTTTCAGAAATGTAATGCATCCCAGTGGTTTACTGTGTGAAACAGCCTGACTACAAGGCAAATGATAATAACAATCTTTTTCTGCTTTATTTTTTTTTAGACTCACTACGAAAATGGAGACTACATTATTAGGCAGGGTGCTCGAGGGGACACTTTCTTCATCATCAGCAAAGGACTGGTAAGCTCCCCTTTACCTCTTGCAGTCCTTGCACCATTTGAAATCATAATAACGCACTTAGGAAATTCAATGTCAATCAAATATATCCTCCAAGTAGTTTGAAGCTTTAGTTTATTGCAATAAATGAATGCTGCTAGCATGATGTTTGAGCAAATGGGCTGAATTCTAGACAGGACATGGTTTTTTAAATGTAAAACAAAAAGCTTCTATATATGGCTTTAGTATTCCACAACAAAACATATTTAGTTGTTAACTGTTAAACCTATTTCAGTAACCAAACCAGCAGAGCAAATTTTCTGTCATGGTTTGCTTATATCTAGAGTCCTGGTTGCGCCAGGAGTCCCCAAACCCTGGCAAATAAATTTAACATGAAACTGAGCTCTAGCACAACCTCCCTGCATACCACAATGCAGTGAATGTTTCTCACTGAACTAAAAACAGAAACTGTGGAATTTGGAGCAGTCCAGCTTATATGCTTTTCAAAATGGGGAAGGTGAGGGTCCATCACTAACTGAAGGAGGTAAGTTTGTTCCTTGTCATAGTTCTCTTTACTCATTCACTATGGTGCCATTTAAACCTGGTTTCCCACAAAATGGATATATCTAATTAAGGTAGGTTGGCTTATCTATTGCAGGTGGTAGTTTGTATGGCCTATTTTTAGCCCATGTTATCCTAAAACAATAATCTTCACTAACAGGTTTATTTCAAACCTGCAGCATTTCTCCAATTATTTTGTGTGCTAAATTAATATGGCAACAAATGGAGGTGCTAGAAACCCAAAGTATGATTGTGCTTTCCCTAAAAATTAGGGGCTTTATATAATGATTTTCACACAAGATTCACACAACTTGTACCCAGAATTCTCACAGTTTTCTAATGAAATAAATAGGAAAATGCATGAATCCTGGGTGAAAGTCATGTAAATCATGTGTGAAAACATTTAAAAATCAACCCAATATGTGTTTAATTGCCTTTGTAGCAGTTGAAATTATACAGATATGATGGATTCCTTGACGGAAGAGAAATTGGTCTAGTCCTGTTTTACATAAATTTCTGCTATAAAAAGCTGTTCCTGACCATCATTAGGGTACTGTTTGGAAACAAAAACAAGCTCCGTATTGAGTTAAATGCCTGTATTTATAAAGCATAACAGAATGTTTTCAGTGCCAGAAAAACTGCATGCAGTAACAAGAGCCAATAATCTGAAAGAATGGATAACCCTACCCCCCCCCCCCCCCACACTCTAAAGGGTTGGCAAACAATAGGCATATTACTAATTTGTTGCTAGGGAGAGTAGACAATTCTGTCTAGGGAGAGATACTGTGCTTTTAATTTTGGCACTGGTACATGTTCCCCATTCCTTTTGCATGACAATAGATTGCTCATTAGCCGTACAAATTGGCAGAATGAAATAACAAGATTCACCTTCCATGGACTTCCTTAGACCTTCTCTAAGCTTGAAGCACCGTAAAGTTTGTGAACTTTAAACAAGATTCACAAACTTTATGATAACTCATCATATTGATATTTTTTAGAGTCTGCTAGGAAGAATACAAATGTATAATTCATAGTAAAATGTGCAGCTAACAGGATAGCAAAGCTGGTCAATGCACTTCAACAAGAACTGGTATTAGCTTAAGATCATTATTATTATTATCTGTCATATCCTTGATTAGTAACCAATATTAGGGGTTAGAATAGAAAATCATATCTTGATAGTACAAAAAAGGAATCTAAAGCTCCCTAAATTCTTTTAATCCATGTATCCAAAATAAGTGCTTGTAATTTTGCACTATATACTTATTGTGTATCTCTGGAACTTGCAAATTTTTGAGGCACCAAGTAATATCTCCTAGACATACTACATATGTAATAAAGTGTTTGAATAAATATGTATTTATTTTATTATTATTACTCCCAATTTCACATAACCTGTCTTATAAAACTCTTAAAACTTTACTGTCACCCAAACTGTTGCCATTTGTTTGTATTCTATATTTTAACAAACAGTTTTACAATCAAAAAATGTCCCAATAGTTTACAAAGTTATTATTAAGTTAACCTTAATGAGGAGTCATATCTAACAGGATTATTTAATTTATAAAAAGCATCGTAGCAGAAAAAAATAGAAATTTATACCAGAAGCCATTTCTGTTTAATAGAATATAGTAATTTCTGGTAGGTTTGACAACTTTTCTGTCTTCATTGTTAGTAAATTTTACATTCTATCAGTCAATTCTATGTTCTGTCAGTGAATTTCCACCCACCATTCATGTGACAAAGCTTTCATAAAACAAATGGATCTCCTTGACAGGTGAATGTTACAAGAGAAGACACCCCGGGTGAAGATCCAATATTTCTCCGCACTTTGGGAAAAGGTGACTGGTTTGGAGAGAAAGCTCTTCAAGGGTATGTTTCTGCCAATTTTTTCTCAAAATAATTTTTACGAAATATAAAAAACACATGAAACTCAATTTTGCAGAGCTAACACTTTGGGATACGGATCCTTATTTTTAATAAAGTGACAGCTAATTTGGCTGAGATTTGAAAAATAGTCACAAATTTAAAGATAATGACCTTTATATGTTATAAATTGAGCATTTTGTATTATATAAATGTACCTTCCTGAGAAAGCTTATTATGAGATTTCTTACTCTGTAGAGGTGGTATTTGTTGACCCGCATGAGAACTTGATGATTTTACATTTAAAAGCAGAACTGTCAGTAAAATGCAAAGTGTGAAGTTAAATCAGGGCCCACTCCCTATGCTAAAATTGGTGCATAATATTAGTGCAAAAATGTACCTGTAAAGACAAAAAGTTAGAAAAAATACATATCTAACCCTCATCTTCCACATGCATGGGTGAAACATCATGATCTTGTCAGTGAGATTCCTAGTGCAAAAAAGATTTGGGATCCTCATTGTTCCCAGGACCTTACCTAAAGGATCATGACATCGCACTCACCAAGGGGCCAAAGAGAGAAGACAGGAGTAAGGGAAGAATATGATCTTTTATTGATTTTTTTTCCTTTTTTCTTCAAGTAACATTTTTCACTACTATAATGCAGCTATTTTTAACAAGGGAAGGTGGGCTCTGATCAAGTAAATGGACCTTGCAATTTACTCCAATAATACAAATTGGCCTAAACTTAATTCCTAACACATTGTGCCTAGTGATTCTTTTGATTACATAAATATTGCCAAGTGCTACACTTTGAATCATAGGAGCAGATCTTAGGTATAGTTGTAATAAAAATATTTGATCTGTCACCTTGGATACCTTTGTAGCCCACATTTTAATATTTATACCTAGATATACACCATATACATCATAAAAATAAAATCTGCTGATATAACCAACAACTAATAACTTTTTGATACCTAATAGAGATAATGCTATTTATAATATTATGGCTACAGGGGATATTATTTCCTGTTTTCATACAACTGCTTTGTGTCACTAAACAAGATAAATTCCAAGAATAATATTTAATCTTTTAAGGGGGAAGATTGCCTGCATATTTGCTGATATGTACTGTGATATGGTTTGATCCAGATCACACCCTGATCCAGGTACATTGGTTTACTCATCTCTAGAAAAGAGAGGATATGTACCACAGTGGCCAATCAAACACTTTCTCGTATATCAAGATTATTTTGTATTAAATTCTTTATTTTATATCAAAACGGGATTATAAATTGAAAAATGAAATCTGATAACTATACTCAACATCATCCGTTTCTTTTCCTCCATTTATACATAAACCTGTTCTTTATTCTGTAAAAGTGTATAACTTGTAGACTTCACAAATTGTGATTTTGATCTGTTCTCCTTTTTTGAATTGTTTTCCTGGAAGATCAATAGATATCTTTTAGGAAAACATAATTTAACTGTCGCCTCGTCAGAGCTCCAGGTTTCTAACAGTAGTGTGGAACAGTGAAGTGAACATGAAACAATTGCCTGGCTGATTGAATCTTGCTTCTGTGCTCTGGAGTTGCCAGTTTATAGCAAGTCTGAAACTACATCAAACTTAATAAATGTTAGGAGTGCACAGTCTATTATTAGACCACCCCTAACAAGATGAAAAAAGACAGCCACCCCCAAGCACCTGTTCTGTTTTCATCCTCGCTCCAAGCCAGGACAGTACAACTTAAACATCCTCCTGTTCCCAGCCGGGTTCAGCCTCTCCTGGATTGGATGACCTCTCTGCTGGCTGTAAACCTCCATGTGAGTGTGTTCCCTCAGTGCAGGGTATATAATGTCAGGATAAACTTCTGACTGAGCATAGGCAGGGGAGCTGGCTAATGTGTCTTCTTTCCCTTACCTTACCTTTTCTTTTTCTTTCTGTGCGGCTAAGCTGTCCTCCGTCTCAGAGGTTGCTATGACAGTGGTGGGACGCTGACCCCCAACGCGCATGCTTGGGCATCTTCGTTTGGCCGCGTTTGTGAGGCGTCTTGGCGTCATTCACTGATTCCGGAAACTGACAGCATTGCCTTGAGGGTGACGGGAAGCAGGATGAGGGGGAGACTTAAACGGGAAGCATGGCAGTCTTCCTGTGCTGGATTACTGCTTCTACTGCTGAGACTGTGGTTGCTGCTGCTGCAGTAAGTCTCCTCTTTTTGCATGCTTTTTCATGTGCTGTGTCAATGCTGAAATACCCCTGTCTTTTGTGTAGCCTCTTTTGCTTCTGCCAGTATGAGCTCCCCTCGTCCTGTATCAGACGCACCGAAGCCTAGGGAAAGGTAGGGAGGCATCTTGGGATTACCTTAAAAGAGTGCACTTGTGTTGGGCTAGGATTAATTATTCTGATGCCATTTTGTTGGTTTCAGGAGTAAGAGCCTAACTCACGAACGGCCCAGAAAACGTGAAGACGTTCTTATTCCTCATTAAACGCACGGTCTCCTAGTGGCCGCCGGCACCATCATAGATTGGATAGAATTTCCTTGTCTCCTCAAGGTAGGAGTACTGCCCTAATGCCAGGGTCCTCTTGGGCCTGTTCAGCCCAGGCATTGCCAGGCAAGATGGTTTGCCAGAATTGTCTCAGGGAAGTGGCTAGAGACAGGGAAGCAGACTCTCTGGAGATTAAATCTTATATCCAGCAGGCTGTACAGGAGAGTCTACAGAATATGCTTCCATCTGTTCGTTCATCCTCGCAAGCCGCCTCGACAACAGCCAAACCTTCCATACCCATAGACGTTTCAGATGAGGGAGAGGTCTTGTCATACGATTCCTCTCCTCCTGATGGGCAGGAATTCCATTCCTTTTATTTTAGCCTCATTGTTCCTTTTATTACGGTAATCAAGGAGGCCATTGAGTGGGTGAATGTGTGCACACCCAGGAGGCCTCAGTAGGTGCACGCCTAAAATTCTTCAGGGACCCCTAGTGACAGAAATACAAAATCTATGGGTGAAGAGGATAATCTGCGACGGGTATCGCATAGAGTTCAAATCAATTCCACCCCATTTTGTGAATACTTGGATTCCTCAAGATCGATTGAAAAGAAGATTGTTTTTCGACTATGTCGTAGAGTTTTTTGAAGAAAAATGCAATTATTTTGATGGCACAGGAAGAACGAGGTCGGGTTTCTATTCTCCTATCTTTCTAGTTTCAAAGACCTCACAATGTTGCATGACTGAATAAATATCAGTCAAAGTATCGCAACGCTGAATACTGAAAAATTGCTTCGACAGGAAGAGGGTGTAAATACCCCGGTCTTCACGTGGTTGAAGCTAAACTCCAGGGACATAGAGAAAAACACTGTTTGCCCCAGTTATAGATTCAACAAAAATTATGTAATATGTTTTACATACAGCTGACAATAATACATTGATTTCTCCTAAAATCAGCCTCTAGCAATTCATAGCAGGGACTCATACTGGAAATGGGAGAGCAGCAATATAACACTGTCAACATTGTACATTACTATTCATCCAACACATGGAAGGAAGGAAGAGGTTAGTGATAATCAGTATTTTCCAGCTCCTTCACTAAGACCTTCCAGTCTCAATCTAGGGCAAATCCAGGCTGTAATGCTCAACTATAGTGTATACTTTATGGAAGCAACTGGGAATGAAGGACTATTTGACTAAAGTTGATACAAACTGACTGATTCATTTAACACATTGTAACAGGCCTTCTTGTATTATTTCCTATCAGTTAATATTAAAATTTACCAGTTATTAGATTGCTTGTTGGAAAAAATAATACGCCATTCCAACGGCATCTTTTTGTCTTTAATGTGTTCAATAAACATCCAGTCAGCATCAAACCGGTGTTTTGAGAAGGGTCCTATACACCGTGTGTGTGTGTGTGTGTGTGTGTGTGTATATATTTTTAGTCTTGACCATAATAAATAAATAAAAATAGTTAGATTTATCTGGTATATACAGATATCTGGTATCTGAAATGCCTAAACTGGGTTAATTCTCAAAATAGTAATTCTTCTCTACACCATGACAGGTAAATGCAGGGGGCATAAGACATCGTTAACCTCACCATTTCTTATATGGAAATAGAGTAGAAGAAACAAAATATACAGATATTTACAGATAATAAGTACTGAAGTACCAAAGTGAAAAATATTTTTGGAAACAAGACTTCTTCCTCAGGCAAGCGTGCATCAACAGGTTGACTGCTTATATACATCCTAACTAACATAAAACTACTAACAGCAGATTGAATTGATGGCTTGGTTCACTCATCTAGGAAAGTGATAACTGCTTGGTTCACTGTAAAAAAAAGAGTTCAGATGCAGAAGCATTAAAAGAGGGTGGAATTACTTAGAAAAACTTGGCTCTGGTTGGATAGAAAACAATATTAATATACATAGGAGGGACAGTCCTATGCAAGCACTCTCCAGTTTGCAGAGGTAACAGTAATATCTAATCAGCTATTACATTTGTGGCTTACCTGCAAATTAATGGGTCACTTTAAATCATCTAGGAGTTCCACATTTTGTTAATGCATTTTACAAAGGCCTCAGACTTTGGTTATAGAGCCATCGTTTAAACAAATAAAAAGCTACAGCTTTACCGCCAAATCCGATAAAACAATTCAAACTTTTTCACTGTAACACAATCCAAGTGAGAAGCTCAGTTGTCAACACTGTTGTTTAATTTAGAGATGAAATGGGCTATTACTGGATCATTTGTTAGGAGTTAGTCTAATATAATTGTAAAAACTCTTAAACCTTTGCAAATGATTTGGCACAAAAGAATGATTTGGAAAAATAAAGTGAAATATGCCAAGAACAGAGAACGTTAAAAGGAGAAACATGTAAAAAAGTGCAAAAAAAAGAAATTTGTTGGTAATTTGGGCTGGCTGACTTGCCCTGAAAATTATTATGCAAATGAGTTAACATAATTATAGGGAATAATGACTTCCTTTCCTGTGTAGAGCAATTAATGCA